AAAAAAAAAAAAAAAAAAAAAAAAAAAAAAAAAAAAAAAAAAAAAAAAAAAGAAATTAGTTATGTTATTATTCAGGTATATGCTTAAGAAAGTGGATAAAAATCCTATAATTCTTTTTTGTAAACTTTAATTTATAAATAACATCAATCATAACATGTAAATTATGCATATGTCCTAAATCTTCAAATCTAAAAAGTTTGAAAAATTGAAATAGAAAGTAAAATTTGAAATAGAAAATAGAAAGTAAAAATGTATAGGGAGAGTGACAACAGTAAGGTGGAAAAATAAAAGGTGCCCTATTTGCTTACCATCCCACAGCAAGAAAATTTATCTTTATGAAAGAGCCAGGCAGCATGGCTCACACCTGTAATGACAGACACATGGTGCATTCAGGTTGGGGATTCAAGACTAGCCTGGGTTACGAAGCCAGAACCCATCTCAAAAATAAGTGCCTTTAAGAGAGCTTTGAGGTCCAGAGAGGGTGTTGTGAGACTCTGCTAAAGTCTAAGATTGAGGAGTGTTCCTTTCAGAAGGCAGGCCCTCATTCAGGTGGAAAAATATAGGGCCCCTGTTCTAGGCTACAGATCCAGGAAATGTCCTACTGAATTTGGTCCCACTGAGAATTCTGAACTTACTCTGTAATCATCCCAAACTTCTCCCAGCCACAGTCTAGGTGAGATCGTGCCCTTCCAGAGGCCTGGAACAAGATACACATTTATAGCCACATAGGCCGAAGCAGTTCAATGACTCATAGAACTCTTTGAGTCATAGTTCATGGCCAGTTCTGCCTACACAGGAACCCACACAGTGACCTGAAAAAATTCTGTCTGGTATTCAGTGAAAGCCATACTCATCCACATTCTGATAACAAAGCCTACCATATGTAGACCCAATTACAAAATCCTGCCCTACTGTCTGCCCTACAGAGCAACATCAAGAAAAACATTCAGTCTGTTCCAAAATATAATGGAAATTACAACTACCCAAGCCCCTGTTAATAAGTCAAATAAAGGTGAGCCCTAGTGCAGACCCAGCATCCTTGTGAGCAAGCCACACCTCTCTCCTCTACAAACCCAGCAGGTATTGCATCACCCTGAGAACCCAACAACAACAACAACAAAAATCTTTAACCCCTGAAACCAGTTTATAAAAACTTAAAGAGGTGTCTGCTTCTTCAAATTCAGAAACCAATACAAAACTATACTGTACCCACTGTAAATGCTTTCATTTTAATATAGAACTGGAAGTATGTGGCAGAAGAATTAGTCAAAAAAAATTTTTAAACTCATTGAAATTGAAGACAAATGAGTAAAAACTTGCTGCTTGTAGATCATATGCTGTTATATATAAAAAATAAATTAGCAAAATATAAAGTTAACGTACAAGTTACGATTCCATACACTTAAGGCAAACTGATAGAGAAAACAATCTTATTTACAATAGCATTAAAATAACAAATTTCTGAGAACAAATTTAAAGGAGGTTAAAAAAAAATCTTTATAATACAAATATATTAATAAAATAAAATGGAAAAGATACAAATAATTTTTTTTTTTTTTTGAGACAGTCTCTGTCACACAGGCTGGAGTGCAGTGGTGTAATCTCGGCTCACTGCAGCCTCCACCTCCTGGGTTAAAGCAATTCTCCTGCCTCAGCCTTTTGAGTAGCTGGGATTACAGGCATCTGCCACCATGCCCAGCTAATTTTTGTATTTTTAGTAGAGATGGTGGGATTTCACCATGATGGCCAGGCTCGTCTCAAACTCTTGACCTCAAGTGATCTCCCTGCCTTGGACTCCCAAAGTGCTGGGATTCCAGGTATGAGCCACTGTGCCTGACCCACACAAATAAATTTAAAAATATTTTATCTATAGATTGAAAGAATAAATACTGTTAAAGTGCCATATTATCCAAAATAATCTGTGGATTCAATGAACTCCCTATCAAAATTCCAGTGGCATTTTTTTTACAACAATGAAAAATAAAATCCTAAAATTTACATAAAACTACAACAAACTTTGACTAGCCAAAGCAATCTTGAGGAAAAAGAACAAAGCAGAGGGACATCATACTTTATAATTTCAAACTATATTTCAAAGCTATAATAATAAAAACAAGATGGAATGTGCAGAAAAGTTAACCAAAAAATGGAACAGAAACCACTAATCACACATATTTCAGACATGATCTAGAAAGATAACTTAAAAAATAGTTTATCATAGAGTTTCTCAAAATTATGCAGATATTCATGTGTCCCCAGAACAATGGAAAATCAGATTGTGCAGTATCTTATATGCCATGAAGAGGGCTTTCGCTCTCATCGTAAACTTGAAGGAAGATCACTGATGGGAAAGTAGAATTTTTAGAGAATTTAAGAGCACAAGAAAGAAGATGCCCCTACCTGAGAGCAAGAAAAACAACAACAACAATAACAAAAACTGAGCTTCCCAGAAACTATTTCCTCTAGAACGTAGCTTCCCAAACCCCATGTCAAGAACTGGCTTTCTCTTTGAACTTTGGACCTCTCATCTGTGCCATCTGTTGTATTCACTTTCACCTACCTGGGGGTTCGGCTACCATCTCCTGTCTTTTCCTATTCCAGGGCTCTTTTCCTTGCTCCAAACAGGTTATCAGGTGAGGCTTAGAGACAGCAATACCTGTTTTATTAAAAATAAATAACATAAATCTTGCTCATATTCTCCAATTACTACCCTACTAATGTGCTCAGTAAAGAGGATGTCATAGCATATTCTAGGAAATTAATCCCAAATTACTAATTTATAACAAATTTCTAAATATTTAGAAAATACTTTAAATTTGTAAGTCTTTAATTTCACTATCCAGCACTATTGAATAAAAAATTGGTGGTGGCAATTAAATTTTAAGGTGTGGGCAACAACATTTTATGCCACCAAATTTCTGTAATTATCACTAAGCTAGAGTGAAGGATACCGATCAGCTCAGGAATGTGGAAAGTTCAGGTGAAGATGAAACGTACCAAAGAAATTTTTTTCTACATGGACAAATATCAAAAAATTTCTTGAAAACAGGGATCTGACACTCATTTATGGAAAGCATAAACTACCACAAGTTATACAAAAAAAGAGAAATAAAACGTTTAGGGCAGATTAGGAATTCTGTGTTGAAGTTATCCTCACCCAGGAAGGCCAGATTTCTGTAGTTCTCAAACATCACTTTCCTATATAAATTCCGTTGTGCAGTGTCCAGGCATTGCCATTCCTCTAGAGAGAATTCTATGGCCACATCCCTAAATGTCAGTGGTCCCTGAAAAAAATACACACACATACATATTTACTAAATAACCATGGGCAGAATTTTTATTTTGGCTCAAGATAAAGTAAAACAGTATAGAAAACTGATTCTGACTTACAGGAGTGACTGAAATGATCCAATAAAATGAATTTCAACATGGAAATTTCTCTACTGTATTCTTTAACTCAGATCAAAGAACAGCATAAGATCCATAACAGCAGTGTATATATGATACTTTTTTGAATGATAAAGTATAAAAGAACATGAATACAAACACGTAAATTTTTGAGCCCTATATTTACATTATGCAGAATGAGTTGTGTATATTTTTAAGATGGAAAAAATGTGCTGAGTTAGAAGGTACCTCTCAAATTTTAATGTGTACAGTAAACTGGAGATCTTATTATGCTGAATGTTTTTTAGAAGATCTGAAAGTTTGAATTTCTGAATTTCTAACAAGCTTACCAGTAATGCCAATGCTTTTGGCCCAAGAATATTTTGTCAAACATCCAGTAAGTAAAAGAGCCTGTGTTTTTCCCAGTTTTTCTGGCTGTAAACAAAGATGAGAGCCTTCATTTTCCAAAGACATATATGCAAATATAACCTAAGGAAAAAAGGCAGCTGCCAAATTAAATGTGATGGTTTATGCACATCAGCTGCATAAAGATACTTACTAATAAAGAGAAAAGTGATTAACTCTATAGGAAAAAAACCTGTCAGAGAGCTCTTTAACCAAGCCAGTCATTAACATCAACTGCACTAGGAACAAATTTTTATGATGTGCTGATGCACACAAAAGATCACGGCATCATTGCTGGAGTACTGCTCCCCAAAAGTAAAATATAATCTAAATTTAACCATAAAGAAACATCAATTTTATGCAAAGTTCAAAATACAGACATCTCCTATTTACTGTACTATTAAATAGTGATTTTAAGTAGTCCTTCAGCACCCTAGAGAGCAGGAATCTCCTAAAAAAAATTTTCAGAACTTTCTGGGTGATAAATGCAATTCTGTTTAAATAAGCATTTTCTTAATCTCTTTCTGCACAGAGCTAATGGAGAACACAGATAAATCCTCAACATTATATATTCTCCTTCTTTACTAAGGACCTCCGAATTTCCCCAATAGAAATCTTGACTATCCACACGTTCCATAATTAAACAGTACGAAGAAAATATTTTTATAATATTGCAGATTATAAATTCATAATGAGAATTTTGCATGGCATATAAGAATCCATGATGTAGAAAATGTAAACAAAGCTCTGGTATATAGGAAAAATATTTTTCAGAGACCCTTAACTATTATAATGAATTTTTAAAGTAATTGAAACTAACTCATTAGGGAGGAAAAGATCAAGTAGAGAAGTTTGCAAGTACTAAACGCATGGCATTCCAGGAGGAGGAGTGGACACAGCTCTTGATCTGAGACAGGTTTAAGTGAAAAAAAGAGCCAATTCTTCCTCTTTCTCTTCCTTTTTTGGAATTCCTTCTCAGATGAGATTCTCTGGACAAATTACACTTGCATCTTGAGAATATGCCTCTGAAGGTGTCAGCACCCCATTTACCTGGTAATACCACACCCACAGGCAGAAAACCAAGACCTGCAGAAAAAGTCCACCCACTTCTGTCCCTTTTACAAGAGATTCAGGAACAATGAGATGCTCCATGAAGATAAAAATATAATTTTCACCAGGCACAGTGACTCACACCTGTAATCCCAGCACTTTGGGAGGCCAAGGCAGGTAGATCACCTGAGGTCGGGAGTTCAAGACCAGCCTGACCAACATAGAGAAACACAGTCTCTACTAAAAGAAATACAGAATTAGCCAGTGTGGTGGTGCATGCCTGTAATCCCAGCTACTCAGGGGGCTGAGGCAGGAGAATCGCTTGAACATGGGAGGCAGAGGTTGCAGTGAACCGAGATTGCACCATTGCACTTCAGCCTGGGCAATAAGAGCAAAACCCATGTCAAAAAAAAAAAAAAAAAAATTAAGTTTCTCCTTTCTTGTCCTCAGGTGCCCTCCCCTGGCACAGACACCAGTAATTTTTTCTACAATAATGGCAATATGAACCACATTGACCTGTCTCAACTAAACCTGAACAAAATAGGCCCTTTGACCAACCTTCAATGCAAAGGTAAGAACTTAACTCTTATGAACGTATCTTGAACCCCTCGTACTTGACTCTGTCCTCATTTTAGAGTCACATGAGGCCCTTACTTAGCACAATATGATGCTGCCACCAAGAACAATTAACAGAACCTGTGGAAAGAGCACAAGTAAGAGTTCTTGGCCACGTAATCCTAATTAGGGCTGGGCTGATAACCACTTAGCTAAGCATTGCCTCTCAAGCTTTAATGACCTTATAAATCACTTGTTAATTTTGGTCCCACTCTATGTAATGTCACTCTGCAAGTTTGAAAAGGGTTCATGAATGGGTGTTTTAAACCAGTCCCCTGTCAATGCTGATGTTGCTCTTCCTGGGCCATTAGCATTAGCTGGAGAAAGCTGGCACAGCACAGAATCCCTTAAACTCAGCTCTCCTGTCACAACACAAATACAACCAATCTCCATCCTCAAGTATCATATTCTTTGCTGGTCCTTTAAAGTTTAGAGAAAAAACAGAAGATAGTAATGTTTGAATAAGTCTGCATTTGAAAAACGACATGTACACATGTACTAGTGTAACGTTGATTAAGCAGGTGCTACATCCTCAAGCGTTACAGAGCGTTGTGCTTGGAAAAATACATTATTTGATTTAATCCTGATAACACCCTGGAGTTGGTACAAGGTGTTCAATAATTCTCAGGATAAACAGCCCAGGATTTTTACTCTTCTGTTTCTCTGTCATTTATTATTTTTTTAATGTATAAAACAAAAGCTAAATATAGACAGATCAGAGGGATACAGAAAAGTTTAATGTAGTTCAGAAAAAGTTTTATTGTGTTTATATTTACTTTTTTGTGACTTATGGAGCAACTACTGAATCTGCAGTAATAGAAAACAAGCGGCTACATGGAATGTCTCAGCAAGTACTGGTTTTAATTAAAAAATTAAAAGCTAAGGCCCTAAAATAAATACTTAATTTTTCCCGTTTATCTGCTTCTGAGTTTCAGGGAATTAGGGGCACCAGCTCTAGAAAGGCTGCAGAACTCACCAGCCAAAACTAATTTCTTCTAATCAGTATCATCAGTTCAGTGAGGCAAGATCCACACTGGCGTCAGACCTAAATAAGGCCTCCAAAAAGAGGGACTCTTTACAGAACTGGGGCAGGGAGTGAACCCTATGTAGAATTCTGCTCTCTACGCCACTAGGGTATTTCCAGTTCTGATTTTTTTAGGTTTACCTAAGAGAAACTTAAATCACAGAATTTGTGTAGCTAATTTTTTTTAGTCACTGCCATGTCAATTTTCTAACATATACTAATAAGCAATTTAAATACATTCCTTAAGGTTCTCTAGGTAATGTTATCGCAGATAAATATGTATTAATAGTGTGATATTGTGCTGGCCTAGAGCCAGAACCAGAGCAAAACTATTTTATAAAATGCAAAACTGTTTTTAGATAAGTTGAAATGGCTGCCCCATTCTCCTCACAATAACT